AAATTTTTTCATTCACATTGAAATGTTCCACATTGTTTACATTTCAAAAATTGTTGATCACATTTTTTTCTAAATAAATTATCCTGTTTTTGCCAAAATCAGTTTCCAACACCTTTACTTTCCCACGTTTTTTTTTTACAATTTCTGTAATTTTAGTGCAAAAATCAATGATTACACAAGTCCTTTTGCAATTTTATTTCTCCTGAAAAGACTAAAGAGCTCACTTAATCTTTAGCATGTTAAATTGTCATTTGTATATTTTTTTTAAGAGAGTGCTTGATGATTTTTGGAGCTGAGTACCCTCTGCGCCAAGTCGAACAAGTATATTACAAAAATACAAATGTATATTTACTTTTAATTTCAACTCTGATGTGTTTTCTAGTCTTGATGGGTCATCTAAAAATTTGATGGACTTTACCAAGATGCTGCTTGTTAACTTAGCTCAGAAGAAGGTGCTAACAGTACGGCGTTTGTCCACAAAAGCAGCTGTGAATGTCAGTTCCAAACTTGGAACTGACTGGTTATGGTATTGGAATGACAATGAGAATTGGCATCAATATGGACAGCAGGTGGGATTTAGTATTTACAGTACTGACTTACATGTATGTTTTGGACTTGGTATGCCCAATATCATTTCTTGTTTCCGGAACATGCCTAGAATGCGTTTTTTTAAACTTGTATAAAGGCAGGTCATATTGCATGACATATGCATATTGATTTGTGATGAAACTCAAAAACTTTGCAGATCAAATATTGTTGACCACAAATTTAGCAGCGCTTATCAGCAAGTTTCATTTTCAAGTATAATGCCAACTGAACTTTAGTTTGATCTTTGCTCTCGGGCATTACCGGTAATACATACCATGATGTAAGATGTTTTAATTGATTATAAAACGAATACTCATAACAGATAACTGACTGGCAAAATATGTGTTATAAAGTTATTAACAAAATATAAATGTACAATATCCTAATTTTCTAATATTGGATAATAATTTTGAAAAAAATGTTATTAACAACTTCAGAACTCTGGATAAGCTGGTTACTACATTGTGCATCACAAAAATTGCAGAATTATGTTTATCTATGATCTTTGTTTAATATGCTATATTTAATAATACATCAAATTTCCATGCCTTTGATTACTTCTTTCTTATACAGCATTACAGATTGTTCCCATAATGTGCATCACAGTAGAGATATATCAGCCAACAGGATGCTTGTGTTAATAACCTTATTTTATGTTTTTGTATTTCTAATTTTAGGGAGGTATTGGTTCAGCTACCATACGAAGCAATGATATTGAGAGATCTTACCAAGCGTTTCTTAAAAAAGACTCCACAGTGGAACCAACTCTGCAGTTCTCTGTTGGTCTGGAAAATGAGTATGTCATCAACTTTAATCAAATGATACAAACCAATCAGAATACTTCAAAAAAGAGACCAATCAGAAGACGACCAAAATATGTCTCATCAGACGATGTGAAGACAATCAAAGATGAGTAAGTACATACCTAGATATGCTACATTTGTATGTATACCAGTTCCCGTGGTAATATAGTATCTACCAGTCACAATGCACTGTGCCCATTCATGTGGTAATACAGTAATTACAAGTCACAATGTACTGTGTCTATTCATGTGGTAATATAGTAACTCCCAGTCACAATGCACTGTGCCAATTCATATTGTAATACAGTAACTACCAGTCACAATGCACTGTGCCTATTCATATTGTAATACAGTAACTACCAGTCACGATGCACTGTGCCTATTCATGTGGTAATACAGTAACTACCAGTCACAATGCACTGTGCCCATTCATCTGGTAATATAGTAACTACCAGTCACAATGCACTGTGCCCATTCATGTGGTAATACAGTAACTACCAGTCACAATGCACTGTGTCTATTCATGTAGTAATACAGTAACTACCAGTCACAATGCATTGTGCCCATTCATCTGGTAATACAGTAACTACCAGTCACAATGCACTGTGTCAATTCATGTGGTGATACAGTAACTACCAGTCACAATGCACTGTGCCTGTTCATGTGGTAATACAGTAACTACCAGGCACAATGCACTGTGCCCATTCATGTGGTAATACAGTAACTACCAGGCACAATGCACTGTGCCCATTCATGTGGTAATACAGTAACTACCAGTCACAATGCACTGTGCCCATTCATGTGGTAATACAGTAACTACCAGTCACAATGCACTGTGCCCATTCATGTGGTAATACAGTAACTACTAGTCACAATGCACTGTGCCCATTCATGTGGTAATACAGTAACTACCAGTCACAATGCACTGTGCCCATTCATATTGTAATACAGTAACTACCAGTCACAATGCACTGTGCCCATTCATGTGGTAATACAGTAACTACCAGTCACAATGCACTGTGCCCATTCATGTGGTAATACAGTAACTACCAGTCACAATGCACTATGCTCGTTCATGTGGTAATACAGTAACTACCAGTCACAATGCACTGTGCCCATTCATATTGTAATACAGTAACTACCAGTCACAATGCACTGTGCCTATTCATGTGGTAATACACAGTAACTACCAGTCACAATGCACTGTGCCCATTCATGTGGTAATACAGTAACTACCAGTCACAATGCACTATGCTCGTTCATGTGGTAATACACAGTAACTACCAGTCACAATGCACTATGCTCGTTCATGTGGTAATACAGTAACTACCAGTCACAATGCACTGTGCCCATTCATATTGTAATACAGTAACTACCAGTCACAATGCACTGTGCCCATTCATGTGGTAATACAGTAACTACCAGGCACTTTGCACTGCCACTGGTTGTGGTAATACAGTAACTAACAATCATATTGTACTTTTTCTTTAATGGTCATGAATTGTGAATTAAGATATTTAAACTTGGTACTATTAAAAATATTGTTTAATTAATACAGAAAGAAAGCAGGAAAAAAGAAGGAAAAGAAAAAGAAACAAAGCGGTATCCCGGATATAACATCTGAGACCATTCCTAAACACTGGGACAGCTCTGCGGTTGACAAAGGAGAGTACAGCATAGTGATGCTTAGTGAGAGTGGCAATACTAAGGCTGAGCATCAAGAAGTCGCTTCCCTGTTTCACAAAACCATGCCGGATGATCTAATTGTGTCAATTGAAAGGGTCCAAGCAATCAATCACTGGAAATTTTTATATGGGTAAGGTACTAAATAGGCTGCTATTTTGTTGTTAGAATTCATCAAATATGGGTTGAATAGAGTTGTCATGGTTACTTATTTCAAGGAATGATTCATTTAGTAGAATTGTCACATTCAATGCCACCTATTGGCATTGTTTAACATTGACTATAATTTAATGGAATTGTCACATTGAATATTGTTTAGTCAAATTGTCACACTGAGTGTCATTTATCGCATTTGTTATGTCCAAGGCAGTGGCGTATTAAAAACTGCCACTTCTACGTGACACTTCTAAATAAGTTTTTATTAGCCTTCGCAGACGCAGTCTGACGAAGGCTTCTAGATTGGCTTTTGTCCATTCGTTCGTGCGTGCATTCGTCGTTTACTTGTAAAAATGCCGAAATTTGCCAGAAAATCCGAGATTTAACAACATCTCCCAAGAGAACTGGCACAACGTATTGCGCATGCGCCAGTCTAACCGCTGAGAAAATCGGCGTCGTTTTCGTCTGAGGATATTGTATTTCGGGACTGTATCTTTCTTTGCACAAGGCTTATATAGATTAAATTCTATCTTGTCAGTTGCAAAGGTAAGTAACTGTGCTTATGGTATTTATTATGTACTTTGATTTATCCTTTTGTGTCCTGACTTTGGTGAGAAACTAGCGATCGCGCAGTGCTGGTTACACTTTGCCAGAAAAAAACAGTCCTGCTATTATTGTAAGAACTGGTTATGAAACGTGTAAATCGAAAGTTTATCTCGTCATGTAGGAGGCTTGGGAATTACGTTTGGCATATAAAATACTGGAATAATAAAAACGTAAAAGTTTAGAACACGCTGATCGTGATTCTGTTATGCACGATTGCTATTTCCTGTGTTCATTGGTTTCGTCACGACATATTAGACTAGAATTATCGAAAAAACACAAGTTAAGTTTGGCCAACCATGACTGCTTGAAAGCAATGATGGAATTGAGAAGTACTGTAATTCAATATCAATGAATCTATCATCACTTTTAAATTACCTTTGAAGTAAATATGATACCCGAGTGCGTTACTACACTTGTGACAGGAGACCTCCATGTTGGGACCTACCGGTGTTGAAGTTTATCAGTAAATCGAACCTCTGTCAACAGAGACACATTTTCCCAATCAGCTATTTATTTCACGGCGGCCATGTTTTTTATTGTTGACATTGTGCTATTAAGGGATATGTGAAACAATATTAGGGAGGGGGTCAAATTCACGTAATCCTCAATTTTAATGATGTTGACTTAATAGTCAATATGTTAATTAGTATGCAAATTAGCAGCCATTCTGAGACAATTTTCTAGAATGAACACTGCAATCCAGTTCAAAGGAAATTTGACATACACTTAGGTTACATTATCACTACCTCTGCTGATTAGTTTTTTATGCACTTCTATCTGCTTTTATATTAAATGTATTATTTTTTTTGTATTTTTCTCAATAGTATTTTTTTATTTCTTTTGATATCTTGGCATCCATTTGGTTCAGCTCAAGTGAAATTTTCTGCATATCCCTGGTCAGATTTTAATGACATTGAAAACACAAGTACTCTGGCTTTTTTCACATTCTTAATATTTTATTTTTGCAGAATTCCGTGAATATTAATTTGACGACTTTGTAGAGTGTAAACTGGTGAATTAGTTCATCCTTGATTTTGGTAGAACATGTTTAAAATAGTATATAGTGTGAACTGCAATTTCTTTCTTGCTGGTATAAATTTATTAAGTAATATTTTTTCGTACTAAAAAGACTCAAATATCTTTTTTAATTAAATCTAACAGCCAATGGGAGCACACATATGCTACAACCTCTGCTTACTTTGAACTAAATGTTTTTTTGTTTGTTTTTTTCAGGTGCAGAGCCAGAATTTTTTTCTCAGAAAGCAAAGCCACTGGAACTGCATCTATTACAAAAACATACTGGTACTATTTGCTGCGTGTCTGACAATTGTATAAAGTTTCGCAAGTTCTCTTTTTTTACTTTGAGAAGTTCTGTCAACCAAAGCATAAATATGTGTTTCTCTGTGCATAAAATTTCACACGATTTGTTAATATTAATGTATTGATAATATTTTTCTGGATTTTTGCACTTTATTTGTATCATTGTCGTATGAGAAGTAATCTTGTCTTTGTTAGAGATATTGAAACTAATCCAGGGCCACAAACTAGTTTATCCAAACAGACACAACACTGACTCTACATATTTGTAGATCTGATTAGTATACTTCTTTGTCATTTTACCTGGTTTGGTGCTATCTGGTTTCCTTGCTGAGAATAATGCTGACCTGGATAGAGAGTGCTATAAACTTGAAAATGCCATAGAAATCACGTTTGCCAATTTATGTCCATGCAACTTTAGAATGACAACTAGCGAAGGTTGTGTCATTCATGACTTGTCAGTTCTCCTCAGCACGCACACAGTCTGACCTATGTGTACTAGTATCTCACACATGCTTAGAATCAAAGTCAACCTACATATACATCAGACATTATGTCGCACATGTGCACATGCATTTTTTCCATGATCCAATTCAAGATGACTGAATGGAAGACATTTTAAGATCAAAAATGAATACAGACAATGGAACCTCAATTAACATGATTTAAATTTCGAATCAATTTCAAAATAGCCAACTGGCCTTAAAAAATTAGAAAAATTTTACTATCAAAATAAAACTTGATATTAACAGAGGTACATTACTTGAAGTTTGCAACTCGCATAGTACTGTATGGTGACAACATGCCAAGATCCCGTTCAAGTCTCATCTCGTAGATAGCAAGACTGATGCCACAATAAAACGTGTTACCACATTCATAGTGAAAAAATGTAATACATTGAAAATGTACAGAAAATATAGTTATCGTAATCCGTTATATCGTGAGCACCTATTTTTATCCACCTGGACATCCCGGTATCCTAGTTACCTCGGGCATGCGCATTCGTTGGAACACTTATGCGAGGGCAAGATTGAAACGAGATCTTGGTATCATGTCACCGGAGTTGCAAACCCCAAGTAATGTACCTCTGATATTAACTAGATACACATATCTTGGTATTCTACTAACATCAGTCAGAAAATTTGTGTAAGCTAAAATAGTATTAGCAGAAAAAACTGCTAAATAAAAAATAAATAATATAGTACTACTCACTACAAAAAGCAGAACAAATTAACCTATTTAGAATACAGAGCAGACAACAATGCCGTAGTCTTATTTCAATATTGAAATTCATTATTGCCAATGAACCATTTTTTTATGTCACTTTTAGTATTGAATACTAAAAACATTGTATTTATATCCATGGTACATCTTTATCAGTGATGTTATCTGACAATACAATGACGTTACAGATGCACATGTATTTGCTTGATGATCAGATTCAAGATGCCCGAATGGTGGCCATTTTAATGTTAAAATTCATCCAAATCAAGAATTGTTGTCATTCTGGACCTAGATCTCCGATATAAATGGGCAGCTATTGTCCATCTTGGTACATACAATAAACAGATAAATATATATATATATAACGAGACAATAATGGTTTTTTTTCAAATCAGACTTGAATGCAAATGCTGTTCTCAGACCATGTCTCTGACATACATGTACATTGACATACGTGTTTACTATTTAACTAACAGGGACTATGTCATATCATTGTCAATGACTTGTTTTGATTATTTTTTCATAGACGATACCAAACAATGTGTGGTAAGGCTACAGATGGTGATGTTAATGTTTACCATCTATTCCATGGAACAGAAGAACGATATCTTGATGTCATCTGTCGTCAAAACTTTGACTGGAGGTTGAGTGGTTCAAGAGTGGGTACTCTATTTGGTAAAGGCAGTTACTTCTCTAAAACTGCCAAGTATTCTGACAGCTACACTGAAAAAAAAGATATGTACCGTAAAATGTTTCTGGCTAGATGTTTGGTTGGGGAGTATGCCCAGGGAAAGCCAGAGCTGGTCAGACCCCCTCCAAAAAACCCAAACGACCCCTTAGGTGAACTTTATGATACCTGTGTCAATAATATGAAAGATCCAAATATTTTTGTGATATTTGATATTACTCAGATTTATCCCGAGTATATTATAACATATATGAAACAAGAAGATTTAGGATAATCTCCTAAATTGCATGTAAAAAAAACTTCCTAATAATTACATTTCTCAATTCTGCATCTATACATTAATGTATAAAATGCCTAATAATTACATTTCTCAATTCTGCATCTATACATTAATGTATAAAATGCCTAATAATTACATTTCTCAATTCTGCATCTACTGTAAAGGGGGAAATTATTCACTGGGTTTTAATTTAGCTTATTTCGCTGACTGGAAAATGCGCTAAATTAAAACCCAGTGAATATGTAAAATTTAGCATAGAACACATTATCTAAATGACAAAACTGTGAATTTAAAACTCACTGAATATGCCTGAAATGGTAAATCAGTGAAATTTAAACCCAGTGAAAATTAGTCATTTTACAGTATACATTAATGTATAAAATGCCTAATAATTACATTTCTCAAATCTGCATCTATACATTAATGTATAAAATGCCTAATAATTACATTTCTCAATTCTGCATCTATACATTAATGTATAAAATGCCTAATAATTACATTTCTCAATTCTGCATCTATACATTAATGTATAAAATGCAGGCTTACTAGATTCATTTGTTAGCAGCTTGATGACTTAACATGGAACAAGAAATTTTAGAAGGTTCAGGTTTTTAAAAAAAAAATGAAAACCAAAAAAAGTGACTTTTATGTTTTTTGGACACGATAGTATTTTTAAAGCTATTCACATCTATGTGTTTAGACAATTACTTATAGCTTGATTGATAGGAATACATCTGTTTCATTATGAAGCAATTTAGTCAGTAAATAATCTTCAACCAGTCATTGGTAGCATAGTGGTTGTTGCATCAGACTCGTGATCTGTAGACCCAAGTTCAAATCCTACCTTAGGCTGAACACCAAAAAAGGGTCAGCCTCTGGGTGAGCGTGCCACAGACTCAATGGAAAGGCTGATTCTGATTGCCTCTGATAGAGAGATGGTCACACAGCCCTGTTATGTAGTCCCAAACATGAATATGGCTTCTGTGGCAAAAATGTGTCAGCACTCGCACTAGGTATTCAATGTCTCAAACAAGAATGTTTTAAAAAAAATATTCAATTTCTCGAATCTTCTTATAGTGAAAGTTTATTTCTGAACGCTGTTATTTTTTCTTTCATGCATATAAACAAATTTTTATGCATTTTTGACTCCCGTGTGCGAAGCACAGAAAGGAAGTCTTTGCAGTTAGTGTGTCTGTATGTGTGTGTGTGTGTGTGTGTGTGTGTGTGTGTATGTATGTGTGTCCGTCTGTTCCACTGATATCTCAAGAACCATACATCAGTTTTTGATGAAACTTGGTGCATAGATGCTCTGGGCCAATGCGCAGATTTGATTAGGTTTTGGTAAAAATCCATGCATATTAATTACCTATTTTGCATGATAATTAGCTGATTTTTGGCTGTTTCATGACTGTTCCACTGATATCTAAAGAACCACTCATTGGATTTTGATGAAACTTGGCACACAGATGATCCAAACTAATGCGCAGATTTGATTAGTTTTGGGTAAAAATCTGTGCAATATTAATTACCTAATTTGCATAATGATTAATCAATTTTCGGCTTTTCCACTGATATCTCAAGTACTAATCATCACATTTCAATAAAACTTGG